TATATATATCATAAATTTTCTAATATATATTTATATATTAAAATCTGAGAAACAAAGAATTTTCTAAAATTTTTAGAATTTAAAATAATCTAGGATCTTTTTGTGTATTTTCTGATTTCAATGATTTTACAAATTGTTTAATTTGTAAAATCATTGTTTATCTCTTAATTTTACATAACATGTATAATAAAATTTGTTGCAATTTATTAAGAAAATTAATTTGATGTTACAATATTTAATTGAAAAAAATTTACTTTTCTGAATAATTACTAAAAATTTAAGACAAACGATTATAATTCGTTTAAAATTAGAACTTTAAAATACGAACAATAGAATGAGAGAGTCAAATCTTAATATAAAAAATTTAAAGTTCATATTAAGAAACCGAATTTTTTTTGTGAATTTTTGTCACAAAAGAAACATAAAATATCGGACTTTTGGAAATAAATAATTTACGGCGACGAGTTCCAAACTTGTTCCTTGATAATCTAAATGATGAAATAGAACCGGTTAAAGCTCTAAAGGGGGAAGAGACACAATCCCGTCCAAAACACTTTCCCACCATCCTTCGTGCATCTACATCCCCTTACTTCATATGAGGACGAAAAAAGAGAAGTAGCTAGAAAGGTCATGTAAGAATGAGGGACAACCACATATAAAGTTAACCGCGCGTTGTAAATTGGGCTATCGCATTTGCACGAAAGTGTAAGACTGATTTGTTGATGTAACAAACGAAAGACATAAAGACGTTGGCCCGTCTCAAGCCAACTGGCACTCACAGTACAGTATGACCGTAAATTATTGCCCGAGAAGATACTACCTAAGAAAAAGATAAATAATTATCTTGCAGGATATTTATCTTCAATAAACTGAATTTATTGAAGAGAAAGAAGGCGACGCACATACATATAAATTATAAATCTAAAAAGATGGATCTCTTTTTTTTTTTCGGGGAATAATACTTTACTCATACTGTACTTCAAAATGTACTATTATAATTAACAGTTATTTGTTAATAACAAACGCTACAAACGACATCGCAAGTCGAAATTGTAGCATTACAGAGTGGTGGAAAGCAATACTCGCGGCCTCGTTTAATCGTTATTAGTTAATTACGAATGTACGGATAAATTGCGAGCGGGTATACATTTTACATATGAAAGGTTAATCCTATACAGTATAACACTTCTTTTTTTTATATGAAAATGTGAATGTGTCCGCATATATATTATATTGTCAAATATATGATATAATTTATATTATATTGCAAATACCGTTTATATAATATATACACATATAATGATGTATTTTATAACAAATTCGAAGTTACTATGCGAAATAAAGGAGTCAAATATGGGAGCTGTAAAAAAAAAATCACAAAAACTCGTTTTATGATCATTTTATTTATATTCGATTTTATAATTAAATGTACGTACTTGTAACACCTCCAGAAGTTTTGAAACCTATTGAAGCATCCGTTTATACTGTCGAGGGTTAAACGTGGATGGAACTATTTATATATACATGTGCTTTCTAAAATTATGTCGTGATAAACACAATAATGTCGAATGTGACAACGGTGATGATGTCATCGTTAATCACGTTTTTACAGTATGTGAGAATTTTATTAAAGACATAAAAGTTTATTTCATTTTTTTTGTATAGATTAAGACAGAGAAAACA